AAAAAAAAAAAAAATTAAGAACTAGCCAGGCTTCCCTGGCTCACATTTACAATGCCATCTACTAGGGAAGCTGAGCTCTGAGGATCAAGGTTCAACGCCATCTTGGGCAAGAATGTCTATGAGACTCTTATCTCCAACTAACCATCAAAAAGCCAGAAGTAGAGCTGTGGCTAAATGGTAGAACACTAATCTTGAGTGAAGAAGCTAAAGAACGGTGTCGAGGCCCTAAATTCAAACCATAGTACCAGCCCAACCCCCCCAAAAAAGAAAAATTAATCATTTTTTTCCTGTTGTAAAGTTGCAATTTTTATGAAGCTTTAAATTTGAGCCTGTTTTTTGTTGTGGTTGCTCTTTTGTTTTAGCAAGGAGTGACAAGGTCTGAAATTTTTTCTTAGTTTTTTTTGTAAGAGCTCAGCTCTCACTAATGAATCTCTTTTTGCATGAGAAGAAGACCCTGCTATCTCTTTTTCCTCATAATGAGAGAGCAGAAAAAAAGAATGAGCTGCATCTGTGCTAATTTCCTCCAAATCTCCCGACAGGACTTGATTTCTCTATACATTCCTTTTATCTCTTCCCAGTTTTTGAATATATATTTTGCAAAGCTCATTTAAGCCAATTAAATAAAATTGCTTTGGAACTTCTTCCATAGAGTCAACTTCCTGCTTCCTCCAAGTCTATGTTTTTGGAGGAAGTAGAGAGAGCATGCTATTTTTTTTCTTCCAGAACCTGCACCTGAAAAGGACTGTTTTTCCAAGTTCTCATGTGCAGCTGTCTCTGCACAGTAGCGCTGAGTTTGCAGGGCAGTGGTTAAACAGATGCGCTGTAAAGCCAGGCTCTCTAGGGTTCAGTCTCAGCTCAGACACCAGAATTTATGAGAACTTCATTCTCTCTGTGCCTTAGCTTCATCTGTAAATAGTAAAAGCATAAGGATTAAGGGAATTAACATAGGGAAACTATGTTTTGATGTGGGTCCGATATATATTAAGCACTCATTAGATGCTCAGTATCACAACACAAAGGACCCTATGAGTGTAGATTCCTTGATGTTATTAGAGTTTTGTAAGATTGGCTTTGGAGTTGGCCAAGGTCGTTGGAGCTGGCCAAAGTCGTTGGCCCTGAATTAAAGGAAACTACATAAAGGAGAAGCAATATAAGCAATATTCAACATTCAATATAAGCAGTATTCAAATAGTAATATTACTAATGATTAGCATTTTAAAATTCAATTTAATGAACACTGAATGCCTATAATTTGCTTATAGTAATATACGTGTGGCTATGTACTAAAAAAAAAAAATCCTGGACCCAGAGTTGAGCTTCCAGAGCAAGGCTGGCATCTTTGTTCCTCATGTAAATAAACAACTACCAATCATATGCTGATTACAAGTAGAACAATTTTTTTAATTGTTTTAAAGCTGGGTGCCAGTCACGCCTGTAATCCTAACTACTCAGGAGGCTGAGATCTGATGATCGCAGTTCAAAGCCAGCCCAGACAGGAAAGTCTGGGAGACTTTTCTCCAACTGACCACCAGAAAACCAGAAGTGGCTCTGTGGTTCAAGTGATAGAATGCTAGCCTTGAGCTGAAGAGCTCAAGGATAGTGCCCAGGCCAGAGTTCAAGCCCCACGACCGACAGAAAAAAAAAAACTGTTTTAAATACCAGTCTCTCAGTGAGCTTAGAGTTAAATATAACAAATGAGACAAAAAAAAAAAAAGGGCATTCTCCTTAAGTTAGAACAAAATGACTGCCACATAAAATGTAAGATTTATTTATTTATTTTACATAAAATTACAGTCTGGTGGTCTCATGAAAACCTTTGTAGAGAAAGAGGACTGTGAAAGTCCACACAGATATAGTGCTAGAGACTGGAAACTGCAAACATTGAAAATCACAAGAAATGGTAGCTCATGCCTGTAATCCTAACTACCCAGGAGGCTAAGATCTGAGGATCACAATTCAAAGCCAGCCCAAGCAGGAAAGTCTATGAGACTCTTATCTCCAATTAACTCCCAGAAAACCGTAAGTGGCACTGTGGCTCAAAGTGCTAGACTTGAACAACAACAACAAAAAAAAAAGCTCAGTGATAGCACCCAGGCCTGGAATGCAAGCCCTACAACCAAAACAAAGAGAGAGAGAGAAAGGGAAGAATCCTTAATATGCATAGAGGAGCAGAGGCTAAGACTGTAAAAGTCACTGGATTCAAGCTGCAAAGGGCCTTGATGATCAAGTCAAGACATTAGAAAACAGTCCAAAATGTCTTCTTCCTAAATCAAACCTTTCCCAGGTGTCCACCAGCAATAATAAATTCCTTCAAACTCTAAGGAAATGGAAAGACACCGTCAGAATGATAGGGGAACCAACAGGGTGACTTCATCTCTACCCTCAGATTTTACACAGAAGTCGTGGTACAATTCTCTTAGACATCTGACTTTTTGCCATAGTTTCAACCAAAAACTTATTGTTTCATGTTAAAGGCACTGTAAGGCCAGGGCTGGGATATGGCTCACTGATAGAATACATGCCTAGCATATACAAGGCATGGGATTTGAGACCCAGGACTAAACAAACAAAGCCACTAGAAGTCTTGTAAGACTTTTTTTTTTCCTAACGTGGCATTTCCTGGGGCCCACATTTGCCTTTTTGTGAAATCTGCATTGTTCCTTTAAGGAATTCCTGCCTTTATGTCGACACCAAACCAAGTTACTTGAAGCCATGTGCATGTTAAGCAAAGCAAAGGAAGATCGTGCTATTTCTGCATGGACCGCATGCGCTCGGTGACATTTTCCCTTTGGTGTTTTGTAGGAGAGGCACGCTGCCGAGGTGCGCAGGAACAAGGAACTCCAGGTTGAACTGTCCGGCTGAAGCGATGGAGGGAACGGCACGCCCCTAACCAATAGTAAATCCCCCTGCCTATATTATAATGGATCATGCGATATCAGTATGGGAAATGTATGACATGGTTTAAAAAAGAACTCATTATAAAAAAAACAAAACTCAAAAACAAAAACAGAATCAAAAATAAAAAAATCAATGCGGTCTCTTTGCAGAATGTTTTGCTTGATGTTTAAAAAAAAAAACCTTGGATCTTATTTTGTAAATACTTACATTTTTGTTAAAAAATACAAGTATTGCATTATGCAAGTTATTTCATAATCTTACATGTCCTGTAACAGGCTTTTGATGTGTCTTTCCACTCAAATGAATTTGCTAGGTCTGTTCTTTTTGACGCTCCCCAAGTCTAACTCCATTCCCTGCCCTCTTCATTCCAACGGAAAAACAAAATGAGGTCAGTAGACAGTCTATGGTGCTAGAAACCCACCATTGCCTAATGACCTAGATGACTTTGTCACTTCTGAGCTTGACTAAGACCATACCTACATCCCAGGCATTGTGGCTACACACGAACTTCCACATTTGTTTGCTCATAATCTACTGAACTGCCTAGAATCTACAAACCCAGGCTAAGAAAAACCACCCGTGCTAGCATTACTTCTGCTTCTAATGGTTATGTGCTACAAATGTGTTTTGGCTTTAGAAAGGGATGGGTAAGAGGACAGATCTGAGATGGATCTGGGTAGAAGCATAGGGCGGAACCTTTTCAAGGGCAGAACACAGACCCCCGCCTACGTGGTTCAAGCAGCCGTGAAACCACTCTTCATAACGTGGGCTTTCTCCTCTAGTTTCAGTTCTTTCAATAGGATGAATTAATTAATGTGTCGGGTGGCTTATTTGTGGATGCCATGGTCGATGATGTTCATTTTAAGCTTATACCTATAGTACAAGTACATGATACTACTGAACCTTTTTATCCACTTGGAAACTGTGAGCTGGTTGTTGCATTCAAACACAAACACAAAATCACAAGACACTGCGGACTTTCACACAAGCTGGTCTTTCTTCCCCAGTGTGAGGCAATCCTGCATATATATATATATATATATATATATATATATATATTCATTCCATCTGTGAAGCAGACGCAGTTCAGGGGGTCTAGGCAGGGCATTTGTGCCAACTAAGAGAATCACCAGAAAACCCACCACAAGTACCTATCGCAGTTTTGAAGTTGTTTCTCCCCCCCTAACTCCTCCCAACTCCTGAAGGTTGCTGCCTGCATATTTACTCCTCATTAGTGCTATTTTCCTGTATGTCATTGTGAGCAAGCTGTGATTAATAAAGAATTGGAGTTCTGTGAACTAATAAAGGTTTGGTCTGTTCTCTCACCCCTTGGTGTTCTAACTCTGTCGTTCAGATTTAAAGAAGAGATGGCTATTGGGTTGGACCATCTCACCAGCACAGAGAAGCAGTAATTAGTTTGAAGGCAGCCAATGCCCTGCTGATTCGCTTCCCTTCTGGAGCAGCAGGCCCAGTTCTCTAGTCCTCCTCCTGCTACAGGCCGACACAGCGGGAGAGGCCTTCAACCTGTTCCCCTCACGGCACCCGGGACTGAAAGAGAAGCCAAAGGTTGCTGGTGGTAGTGGGGAGGAAGAAAACCCCTGCCAAGGCATTGGAAGGCTCCTGCACTACTCAGGTTCACTCATGTGGCCCTCAGGTTGCCCCCCCCAGCCAAGGCCGTCTGTTAAAATGAGATTTCCCTGGCCTACTGCCGGGCTGTATACTGCCAAGAAGCAAATCACACACATGGACACAGCGTGGTTTGACAGTGACCCAGATGGATGTTCCAGGGCCAAAGGAACAGTTTTCGCAGGAAGTCATAAATAATTGAAGCCCTGTAGACTTGTGAATAAGAACATTGAGCTCTCATCCACAGAAACCCTAAGTAGCCAGGTGGAAGAGGTAGCCACCAGCCTATTAAGCATCCTTCAATATTCGTGGGAATAAAATCTCTACTTTAAGAGATCACTGTTTCTGATTGCCACTGAACAACACCCTTTTTCACAATGATTTTATATAAATTAATCTGAAAATATTCATTACATGATTTTCATTGGGCCAGACCTATGATTAAGCCCTGAGAACAAGAATATAAATGACCACTAGCTTATAGCAACTTAATTTGTCCTCAAAATCATGAACAGGATATGTTGGCCAGTCTGTGCAGCATATTGAGGGCACACATAATTTTCATAAAGCTTTTTATTTGTCAGTCATGGGGCTTGAACTCTGGGCCTGGGCACTGTCCCTCAGCTCATCAGCTCAAGGCTAGTGCTCTACCACTTGAGCCATAACACCACTTCCGGTTTTCTGGTGGTTAATTGGAGATAAAAGTCTCACAGACTTTCCTGCCCAGGCTGGCTTTGAACCACTTTCCTCAGATCTCAGTCTCCTGAGTAGCTAGGGTTACAGGCTTGAGCTCCTAGGACCCTACTTCATGAAGCTGTTTGAAAGATTATAAAGAATTGCCTGGCACCAATGGCTCACACCTGTAAATCCTAGCTACTCAGAAGGCTGAGATCTGAGGATTATGGTTGAAAAGCCACCCAGGGCAGGAAAGTTCATGACTTTTCAATAAACAAGCAAAACTTACAAAAAGAAATTGGCATTCCCATACAGCACTGTAAGTTTCTAAACTGGACTTGCTAGCCAGGCCAACTGCTTCATCTCAAAAAGGAGAGGTTAGTGATTTTTCTCCAGGGAACAATACCCACTTCCTAACAGTTTTATTTTTTTCTCCTTTCTAGTAGTTCATGGGCATGCCATCCCCAAGTCTGACCTCTCCAGGAAGAACAGGTTTTGCCAGTGAAGCTGCCCTAGACCTATGATCCTCAACTATTAGTGTTGCCTCAAAGGTTTTTGAGAGAAGAGGCTTAATAAAAAAAAGAAAGAAAGAAAGAAACCGTTGGCTGAGCCCATGCCCAGATTTTCTGATGGCAAGGGCTGTTCTGCAAAGCCTGAAAGTGCGCATTGTAAGTGCCTTCTCCAGGTGATGCTAAGGTAACCTCTCAACCTTCCTTGAGAAGCCCTGTTAGGAACAAACTGATCCACATGTGTTGATTCCTCATGGCTGAGAAGCCCTGTTAGGAACAAACTGATCCACATGTGTAGATTCCTCATGGCTGCCACCTTGTGGCCGCTTCTGTCAGGGCATGGCCCACGGAGAGCAGGGTGCCAGTGGCTCATGTCTGTAATCCTAGCTACTCAAGAAGCTAGGATCTGAGGATCAAGATCTCCAGTTAACCACCAAAAAGCTGGAAGTGGCGATGTGGCTCAAGGGGTGGAGCACAAGCCTTGAGAAAAGAAAAGAAAAAAAAGCTCAAGGGCAGCTCTCCCAGGCCCTGAGTTCAAGCCCCAGAACCAGTACAAGAAGGAGGAGGAGGAAGTCAATCTTACTCAAAAAAGTAAGAATGGTTCTCTTCAGTAGGGCTTGCAGATGTGGGACTGGGTGCCTCTTGGAGCAAGATGAAAGGTTTGGCATCTCTGTCCTCACTGCGTCTGTCCCCTTTGCAGCCTTAACCCACCAACACCATGACTGGAAACACCAGGCCATTAAAGAAGCCAAAACTGGTGGCACCAACTTTCTGGCATGTTTCAGCCTAGTCCCAGAAAAGACCCGAGTATTCCTCAACTTCATTAGTCTGTCTCCCTCCCTTCTTCTTCTAGCCCTATACGTCAAACCCCTCAAGTCTTTAAATGAGATGCTGATGTGGGAGCCGAGATTCCCATTTCTCCAGTCTTTGACTACTAATCATGGTCTTTCTGCTCCTTTCAAGAAAAACAAGTATTGTATGTGGATTGCAAAGTAATCCAAGAAGAAGAAAAGTAACCAACTACCACTTGCTGGACTGTGAGACAATGGGAGGCATGCACCCCACCCCCACCCCCAGGGGCTGGCATGTGGCTGAAAAACAGGTGCGGTGAGGTGACACTGATCTGGCCATCTCTCACAACACATCATTTCAGGAGGGCTCCCAATACCTGAAGATGCCCCTGGCCCTCTCAGAAATGGACTGAGCGTTCTTTGCAGCTATGATACCATTTAGTACCTTATCCAGCCCAGTCTGGTTCCATTTCAAAAGTTCTGATACCAGATCTTTTTCACTGAGCCTGGCTTTCCTCTCTGCTATGCTTAAATCGTGTCAATGTCTTTGAAACCACTCTGTGAAATTTTTCCAAGATCCTATTTCCTGGATGATTCACCTAACTCTCTTATCTCCTATACACTCAAGACTGAACATTGACAGGTGCTCTTCTCTGCGGAGAGCCAAACGTCCATTCTTATGGCAAATACTTGGAATCAGCAATTTATAAAGATAAAAGGGTTGTTTTAGTTCACCACTGTGGAGGTTCCAGCCCATGATCAGTTGACTCCATTTCTTTAGGACCTGTGGAGCAGCAACACCACCTGGCGGGAGAGTAAGGGGGAGCAGAACTGCTCACCTCATGGCTGAGGAGAGAAAGAGAGAGAAAGGAACTGAGTTCTATAATCCTCTTTATGCCCGTGCCTCCAATGACCTGAGAAAACACTCACGAGGCTCTACCTCTTATAATCCTATTCTATAACCTTCTCACAGCAGCACGAGCAGAGAAACAAGTCTTTAACACATGGTCTTCGGGGAACACTCCACACTCAAACTTTCGCACCTGCCTTTGTGCTCCTTACCCACTCCATACTGCAGAGAATACAACATAGTACATATATTAAGAGGTCTATCCACAACATCGCCCCCTCTTCAATGGAAAAACTGAGAAGGGAGAGCTGTGATATGCTCCGCACTTGCCTTCCTGGCTCCGGACAATACTATCATCCTTGATATCTCAATCAGGTTATTTGCTGGATACTGCTAAGGCAAACGGAGCCCAAAGCAAAGTCCCTCAAATGATAGCAAAGTTCTCATGGGTTGCCCATTGTCCCCTGTCATCGTCTCCAATTGATCATCAAGTAGCCATTTGACCTCCCCATTGTCCTTCACTTCTTGTTCTAATTCCACAATTCTGTGTACATTTGGGTCCTATTAAACTCTTCCACCTCAAAACATGTCTTTATTCCAGTCTGCCCTTACACAACCATTACGTCTTTTCTCTACTTT